TTTACAAATTTATATGCGCTTCAGGGATAAATATAACAATCAAGGTTATACTCATTTGTGGATAATTCTCGATGAACATTTCAAATGGTCCTATCTGCTTTGATCAATTCTCTTAATCGACTATATCTTTCGTTAATAACTTAGCTGCAAAACCTTTCCCTGTTGTATTTGACGTTTTGGACGCTAGATAAGAACCTCCTTTATCAAACTATGTGGTAGAATTAGCGCGAAATCTGTTTGCATAGCAGTGGTTATGAAAAGAGAAAGTCGATGAAGAGAATCGATCAAAGCAGATAGGACCATTTGAAATGTTCATCGAGAATTGTTATGTTTTAATAGATCATGGTTGATTTTTGCAACAGAAGTCGCTAGTAAAGAAAAGTTACGGCAATTTATATTGTATGCAAAAATATAGAAAATATTGATTTTAACGAAGAAGAATCTTTTCTGAAAAATTATATTTGGTACAGTTGATGGGTAAAATTTTTTCAGAACAGCCCTACCATTTTTTTTTTTTCATTTCGCTTTGAAAATTGATATTTTTTGGAGAAAAAAATGCAATCTCTATGCATTATTTTTCCGGTTTACTTTTACCGCTAGAAAAGTGACACCATGATGTCAGTAGCAATGCGATCAAAATTGACAGCATACAGTGATTCATTACGAAATCAGATGTCAAGATTTAATGACACATAAAACCTGTAATTTTCACTGTCAAAGAGTTTCAATCCTTGATTTTATGATCACTGAGTTCTTGCTGAGTGTATACAAATATTTGTCGATATTTACATATCTTAACTTAAAATGTACTTAAAAATATTAATTTTCAAATAAAAGCAAGATCATATTTTGGAATTAATTATTTTCTTCATTGATATATTTTTATTTGAAGTCATTTACAACTATAATTATATCGTACAGCAGTGTTATTTTTTGTAATAATTTTGTTTCTTTAAATCTTCAAAAATGTGTGTACATTTTTAAAAATTTATTATAAAAGTGTTTTAGAAACAGCACATTCTTTTCAATGCCAATCAACATAAAATAATCATGCAACAACCTAAAGCGAAAACATAAAGCATAAGCCTTTATTTTCGCATTCTCTGCGTCATAAAATCTCTTGGCTTAATCCAGCTTTACATGTCAATTTGTGCATAAGTTTTCCAAGTGTTAAATGCCAGAAAGGAGTCAAATCTTTAAAAAAAAACATCAAACAGGATATTGTGCTCAGCACTTTTATATACACGCCAGCTTGTAAGGTATTCTATAGGTCGGTATGAAGGAAAGCGAACGACAATCGTGGAAGTCTACTATAGTAGGAACTTATTTATGAGCGCTCCGGCAAAATCCAGAAACAACGAGCTAACCAATGTGGATGAGGCACAATGAAAAGTTTGAGAGAGAGAGAGAGAGAGAGAGAGAGAGAGAAAGAGAGAGAAAGAAGGACTGAAAGACAGAGAGAGAGAAAGAGGGACTGAAAGACGCTCATCTTACCGATCCTACCGGGGTAGACTATGCTTCTCATTTGCTCCCTGGTGGTAGGCCTGCCGCCCATATTACCTTTTTGATGTTACATTGTACATAAAAAAATACAAAATGTAAACTCACAGGCTCACCGCAACCAATAAAGCCAATACACAAGAATCAAACGTCAATCAGAAACCATAATCTTTTGTTATTTTGCACGTGCAACTTATTATGCTTCTCAACACTTTGAACAAAACTATGTTTGTCAAAGCTCAAGGCAAAGATGATTTTACGCGCTCGAGTGATCTCAAATTACAACCAAATTTAGAGGTGAACCAGCCTCAGGCTGTAAGCCTCCTAAATAAAGATAAATCAATCAATCATACAACCAAATTTAATGCAGCTTGATTCAAAACATAAAACAAATAAAGAAAAATATGGTTGTAGGTAAAATTCTGTACCCATCTTGCATGAGAGCAAAATCGAAAAATATTAAATTGCTTAAAACAGATTTGAGTGCATCATTTAAATCAAGTTCTGTATGCGGTTCCTTTTCTGTTGCAAGAGTAGCCGGCTTGGCTCAAAGTTCCCAAATGAGCCAAGACAGACTGTCCGGCTTGGACAGTCTGTCTTGGCTCATTTGGGAACTTTTATAATAACTTTTTATAATTTTGAACTAGCCGAAGCTGCTTTCAAATGATTCCACTGTAAAAGGAAACACATTCGTGGAGCCGTTTGCACACTTAATTCAGATCACCGAAGTCGGTAGAATTTTACTGCAGAACAAGTCGGTTGAATTTTCAAATGACCATTGAACGTGATTTATCAACAAAATTGTCGGTTTTTGTTTTTTTATAAATAAATAGAGTAAACAGATCAAAGTGCGAACAAGTTCTGAACAGATTGTCTAATTATTGTATTTTTCACTGATTTTTTTAATTTTTACCGAACAGTTCTGCTGTTTAAAATTTACCGAACGGCAGAAGCCTAAATAATTGTGTGCTAGGAAAACTTTTTTCAAAACAATGTTCAAGGATACAGTACAAAATGTCTAAAAGATACGAAGAGCTAAGGCTGAATTCAGATCACCGAAGTCGGTAAAATTTACCGGACTTTTGAACAGCTGAAAAAGTCGTTAATATTTCCGTGATCGTTAAATGTAAAAACCAATAAAATCGACAAATTTAATTTTTTATCATTCAATCGGGTTAACTGAACTGTGTCTGGACAGGTTCGGAAAAAAAAATCCATTCTTTTTTTGATTCTTCTCTGATTTTTAAACTTTCACCGAAAAGTTCCGTAGTTTAAAATTTAACGACCAGTGAAAGCCTGGATTAGTGGGTGTGTGATTTAAATACTTCCACCTCTGATACAAGAACCACTATATCAATATCAGAATAATACCTAAGCCAGAAGTCCATAACGAGCTTCTTCAATTGATGCATAGTCATAGATGTCAGTCCGTTTCCTGTAAAAAAAATTAAAATCCGGAGCTATATCCACGATACGATTGCTTCTATACGCTGTTCTATCAAATATGGATCTTACTTCCTGTTGAAAACTGAGTTCAGTCAATAGGGGAGCAAAGACATTTTCATTTTTGTATGTATTTGAGTTTTTGTCGATGGCGACACTCAATGGGTTTTTTATTTGCGTGCTGGATAGAACGATCAGCTCCATCGTTTTCATTTCCCTAAAGATGTTGGCTAGCCTCTCATAAGCATAATTGCCACGTCTAAGGTGATGGTTCTTGATTGAAATGATTCGTTACTTTGTTAGTATTATTGAGGATTCTCTCCCATAGAACAAGAAGCCAAAGACATCTAAAATCCATGTTTCAATAAAACTTAAGCCCCGTACACCGTGGCACTGTTATATGTTGTCAGATCTGTTATATGGTAAGAACGGAAAAAGAATGAATAAATTGATCTTTTAGATCCTAAACTGCTTGTCGTTTTGACTACCATCTTGTATAGGAATATAATTTTAATGTTACTTCTAAATATTTATTAAGATCACTCCAACTTGTTTAGTTCCAAAGATAGCAATTATTGTAGATAAAATACTGGCTGTGTAAAATCTGATAAGATTTAGACCATGAGCAGTACATCGTAACTGTAGCTCTGCGCCCCTGGGGCCACTTTCGCCACTCTCTCACTACGACCCTGGTAATCGGTATTTGGAAGCATTGGCTTTTAAGATGTGTGCTTTATATTGCTTTTTCCATAAAGCTATAAATACATTTTTATTTTAAGAGAAGATACTGAAAAGCAAGCATCATGATGAGGAAATGCGAAAATGAGAAAATCTACGACAAAATGACGGTAACCTGTGATATTTGAACCCGGAGATCCCATTTAGTACACATAAATAGAATATTCGAGAAAAGTGTTATATATGCATATTATAATTATTTATAATTTATAAATTCTCTACTCAGCGATCTTGTTATAAAACGACATGAGGGTGTTTCTGGATCAGTGTAGTGAAGCTAATATCATCGTCACGAATTAAAGTCCAGGTCCCGGAACACGTAAACATTTGGTGGTGATATCAAATCTCACACATTTTCCGGATACATTTTGCATATAATATTGCATGAACATTGATGAATGGGTTTTTTCGGTATGCTTATTTGTACTATGGAACAGACTTTCCATTAGCTAAACGCTATATTCAGCTCAGTAAAATTAAATTAATCCTTTTTCTTGCTGTTTAGATAATTACTAATAATTTCAAACTGCTGTTTTTCAACCACTGACTAGCGGCTCGCAACCTGTGGCCAATCCAAGTTGCCCACAAATCCACATAAAATTATTGTTTAACAATTATACTTAACATCTCTTAAGCCCCACCATTTGCATGGGTATGTGGTGGCGCATAAATTCATATAAGCCAAAAAGCACGTGCTAGCTTCTGCACTACCTAAAGTTTGTGAGTTTTGTTCCACCCCAGATATCGTCCGCGTTGTTCTCAAACTGCCGAAAGCCGTCTTCGGCAAACAATATACCACCTTAGATTATTGCGTGCATCTAAAAGCTTCCCCTGCTTGAGAATAAATATGACTACACACCCCGAATGGTCTGCAATCCATACTGTGTGGAAAAACCACCCAAGCATTTTTTTTTTTCTCGTTCCCGTGATTTCTCTCGCCTCTCTTACTCATCATAAAACACAATTGTACAAAACTCAACAAGATGCGACCGACCGACCGCAAGGAAAACGACTACATACACCTACCCTATCGTATATAATTTTGAACTTTTATCGTCCCCCATGTGTCCGACAGAGAGTAGCAACTCGGTTTCTCTCACTCAGAGATCATTTGTGTAAGGGCCCAGTACCGATGGGTGCATAGAGGAATCAATTCTTAGCTTTGCGGACTATCTCGGAAAGGAAGTAAAACACCTCACAGTCATTCAGTTTAGAAGATAAAACTATAAAGTCAGTTGAGTTCTGGACGTTGAACAAGATAGACATAACTTGTACAGTAATAAAAAAAGAAAACCGGGAGTAAAAAAATCGACTAGTGACTCGACCATAACACTTTCGTTGCAAACCCGCGCGAAATTCCCGATACAGCGAAGCACCCCGAAGGATTATTGTGATTGTGATATAGTCCTGCAAATAAACAACTTTTACTTTGTAGTGTGTCTAAAACAGCAAAATCACGTGTGCTGCAGTTATCTATTGCCGTCTGCAAATGAATTTCGCAAGGACACGAGCCAAAAAGTTGATTGTTCATTTTTGTGTAAATTTTAACCGAGTGCATGTGATACAGAAAGCCATGTTGCGACTAAGTAGGATTTTATCTGAAATTACAGTGATTTTACGCTGCCCAATCTCGTGGATGCTAGTGATCTGTGCCTGTATATTAGGGTTACAGTGTTTGCCTCTAAATCATCTTGAGCAACCACTTTTCGATAATGCCTCCCTCTGGCAGAATCCGTGCAACGTTCGGAGCTACCACGAGTCGAACACTAACAAAACAAAAGCCATTTCGCCGAAAGAAAGAGTAGAGTTTTTAAATCGGGTAAGTTTAACAGCAATAGTTTCAAAATTTGTATTTATAATAACCTGCCATCCTTGATCATAAATGTTCTTCCATAGTTACACAACAATTAACACTACCCTATTTACGTTTGCTTTAACAGATAAAAGAATCAATCACTCGCACTATGCAAGAAATCAACCAAATAACAGATAATCACGAGAACACAGACTGGAATACAGCTCAAAATGAGAATAGGTTTAATAAATTCCTGAAAACATACAAAAAGGTAAGCAAATGACAATTCATATCTTTATTTACAATGCAACAACCGAACAACTTGTTGAAACTTATGACGCTACAGTTCAAAAAAGTGGTTAAATTGAAGCACCTCGAGATGATAAAGATGAGAACAAACTTTCCGCGCATGTGAATAACAAAACACCGCGCACATGCTTTTGCTTTAACGACAGTACACGGTACACTAACGATAATTATTTCAAATTGTTCAATTCTGTTGAACCGGACTTCAACGACATGGAACGCATGGGAAATGAGGAATTTCTTTGGCCATCATGCATAGTTACTCGAAAATCATAATAATCAGTGTCTTGCCAATTCTTAGTGTCAAATCTTGTTCTAAGTAGAATAGGCAGTCCGATGCACAGGATTGGCACTTTTCGTATTTTTTACTAGTGTTCTACCTCTTCATATACATATGTTGGATTATTAGTAAGCTGCCCTGCTTTGCTACTTATCCTCGCATTTGTTAGTCGACGGTAAATTCGATCGTTCGCTTTTTTTTCTTCCCGCGGATCCATCGAAGCTGACGCGCAACATTTTTCGCCTTTACCTATCCGCACCGCACATCCAAGCATATCATTATCATAACGATACGATCATGATCCATATGAGAGTGCAGTGCGTCCGTGTCGTGCGAAAGGTTTCTACATTGCTCGTGGTCGTGGTGTGCTCCGTGCAAGAAGCTTATCATTAAATTATCTTTCACGCTTCTGGCTTTTCGATCGCGTCATTGTGCGTTGGTTCATCACCGCCGGATGCCCAGGACTCTCTGACTGCCGTGATGAAAAACGTTTCGCACAACATCATTCCGTATTTTTGCTTATTAATCATCTTTATTGCCAAACAAATTTCCTCCCATAGAGGCGCCCATTGATTGGAAGCTGTGTGCTCTGAATATCCAAAAGAAACAACACATTTCATCCTAGCCACTCTACGCGACATTTTCATTTTGGTCTTCTTATTAAAGTGAGCTAGTTGAATTTCAATTTCTAATTCACATACATGATTCACACGATTTTTTTTTTCAAGCGCGCTGGCTATTACTGAATGATTTGTCATCATTTTGACCATCAGACAATAGAGATGAAACCGCTTCGTTTCCATCCAACGAAGGCGAAATATGAGTTTGTAAACGTCCAAGTCTTGAATCCATTTTTATGTGTTCAAATAAACAGTGAACCAAGGACCAACAACGCCGAATCGAGCACTCATATTACGAGGCCAATAGCATGCTAGGCAAGAACACAATATCTGAATTTCCTATTTGTATTGCCAAATTATGTAAATGTTTATAGAACAATAATCGCAACACAGACAAAAAAATCCCTACAGCGACGGCAACGGGAGCTCTTGGTTCGACTTCAGTAGGTTCAGTCTCAGAGACCAATCTAACAATAATACACATAATATTCTAACTCTAAAACGGCTGAGAAAAAAATCTCTCCTGCCTGCAGCTTCAAAGAAACTCTTATGCGCCGTTCCGACCTGTAATTAAAATTATAACTCATTATCATGTCACATCGCAGGAAGGCAAAATCACATCATATCGTCGTTTGCCTTTTTTCAAATTGATCCATAATTTTAGAGACGAATGATCCTTTTTTCTTCTTCATGAATCCAAATCCATCATTTCGCGCCCCTTACCGATGGAGACTTGGTGTGGTGCAACACCCGTGCGGAAAAGACTCTCACAATCCGCGTGTGTATAGTTTTGTGCAACATCGGATCCTTCTCAACAAGAGCGGATCGATTGTAATTTTGTCTGGACATAAAAAGTTTGATTTATTTTCCATGCTCAGTCTCGCACACTTAACCCATATTTACAATCATATATTGTCTCGGAGAAGTCGAGACACGAAAAATGAGCTCAATGAAAGAAGGCAAAGTTTCGCTATCCTGCGGTATGCTTCAGACATTTCCGCTTTTTGAAATAGCTCAAATTAGCTAAACTTCTGGAATATGGTGACCGGCGTTTCAGTTTGAGATCGCATCATTGGCTGCCAACGCTTGCATATACCAGGTTAACAAGACTTTTGAGCCGTCGGGATGGTGGTTAGCAGAATTTTCCTATTAGGTGTTGTACGTATTCAACAGAGATGTCCATGCAACAAAATTTAAATAAACTCTTATGCGTATTATTTCCAATAAGTATATTCATTATTATTTTTCATTGGATTAATCACATCACAGCAGTTTTTAGTTACTTTTCTTACCACTTGAAACAATATTTTTGGGTGTAATGTATTACCTCATTTTCTTATAATCTCTGGTAGAAGATCGTCTCAAAACTGCTTGACTAAGCGTAATATTGTCTTGAATGTTTTCTCTTCGGGCCCCAATCCCAAAACACATTTTTCACTATTTTCTTTTTTTTTAGACTTCTTCGGCAATTTACTTAACTTTTTGGAAAGATATTAAGGGGTAGTACACTTTGAACGTCCAAAAAGTAAGGCATTCTCGTTAATTTTTTAAAGCAATAAAACACTCAGGGAGCGCAAATATGTTATAACCCATTTATTAGTCATCCTTCGAACTACAATTTGTATTTTTTGAACTCGATTGGAAATTATACAATAAAAAGATTAATTTTTTTTAACTATATCATGTGAAAGCTACATCACATCATCTAGTTTAAAAAACAAACTTTACTTTCTTTCACTTTTATTATCAAGATATTCCCGATGACTCACTGTTCGTTCCTACTGCCTCAGTGTTGACTACTTTCCCCAATAGTAACGCAATTTGAAGCACACATTTATGAGCACATAAGAAGTAGGTTCTAGCAGGAAAGAACCTAATTGGATTGGAAATTTACAGATGATTGGGAATTGCCTGTGTTATTGTGCATTTGAAAAGTTGTTTTTAGTAGAAGAATGGGATACTGAATAGGATTTGTGAATTCAAATCCCGCCGATTGCTGCCAATTTATTTCGCAAACTTTCTCATACACACGTGTCCTGCTCATCGTGTGTGCTTTGCTTCTCAGTATCTCCTCTCCAAACACTAAAAATAGCTTGACTTACTAGTACCGATTGACCGTAGCTATGTTATGTTTAATTTAATGTTGAAATCCTGGCAGATACTGAAATGTAAAATATATAAGTACGGGTCTAAAAATACCAATTAAACTCCTTTTGGTAATTCGAAATCATTGCAGATCTGAAATCTTTGGAAAAACTGTGGCATCAATTATTTTTTAAGTACATGTGAATGTGTAAGCCAACCGTTTAAAAACAAGCACTCTGACAAAATGTGTGAAGACGTCGTTTTATAGTGGAGTAATTTTTTTTTTACGATTTGCTACATGTAGCTAACTCACGGCAACAGTAACTTTCAAACTCATACCGAATGCACGCCCATCGTTGATAAGCTGCTAATGAAAACGATTTGTTTCCTTAATTCACTTGGCCATAATGCACTTAATGAGACCAAATCTCTCTGTTATAATCTACATTTTTCCCCATACGAAAAAAAATACGGCAGTACCACAATATGCCAAAAAGTATAGGTCAAACAAGTTTACGGCTCATGATTCAAAATTTTACACGGCGAAGTTTGAGAGTAAAATCATAAAATGCTTCTATTCTTCAAACAATGTTTGTATTCATTTTTTCATACGCTAGATAAATACTACTTAAACGGCTTCTCGATAGACGTTTCATACATATTACATAATACAATTTAGTTTCAATTAAAATTAAAAAAAAGCAGCAATCAGATCAAATAAAAGTGCTTCATTCGAAAAAAAAGCGTTATAAAATGTCTCTCTGACGTAAAAACTATCACTCTTGTTATTAAGTTTTTTAACAATATTAAAATCGTTATGTTATTATTCCGCATTTTGCACCAAAGTAATTAATTAATTAATTTAGCTTTATTTAGGAGGCTTTCAGCCTTAGGCTGGTTCGCCTCCACTTGCACCAAAGTAGACTCCTGCGCGTAAAACATGTTTCGGTCATGCCAGTAAAACATACAAAATTTACCATTCTCAATGTAATATAGTACTACATTTTACTATAGGAGACATTCTGGTGGTGATGGATCATGGAAAATTCATGATTTTTATTTATTTTTTGGCCTCAGCGAAAAAAAAATCTGAGATTTCAGCGCAGAAGTCTACTTTGGTGCAAAATACGCAATACTTTCTGCATACAATAAAATACCGTAAGTTTTATTTACAAGCGACATCTGCTAAACAATGCAAGTATTACATTAACTGCCAGCGGCGCCTTTGGTGTAGTGGTAAGCATGATTACCTCTCACCTCAGGAGGCCTGGGTTCAATCCCAGCCGGTACCGCCGGGATGTTCTGAGGCATAACATCTCTGATCACGCTGGAAGTAAAGCCGCTGATCCCAGGTTCATGAGTTGATGGGTCGATAGGTGGTAGGGTCCAGGTGTGGGAGCTGCCTCCTTCGCGGTGGTATCATTGGTGCTCAGCACGGAAAACAAGATCGACGGAAAACAAATCAAATAAAAAATGCATTAAAGCCCTTGGGTACATTTAAGTTTTTCATTATTTAACAGCACAATTTACGCGTTTGGACATTTATACGCTCAAAATTCTGTAATTTGAAAAAAATATTTATTTTATAGGTGAAAACAAGTTTGAGTTATATAGACAAATTCATACAAATTTGAAATGCAATTCATGTGACATGTATTTAAAATGCATCCAACCACACCATCCTATCTATGATATAGAAATTTGACGTTTTAAGATTTTCTAAAACTGAAACTTGCACAGAAGAAATTGTACGGAGTTTCAAAATTTTGGCGCAATATCTATGCAATACCCATATAGTTTTATTTTTTATTTTACTTATTTATTTCATCAACCGATGTAACCACACTTGAAATTGTATCCTAAAATCTCACTCACATGATTTACAGTGCCACCGGATTTCATTGTTTGGTGGATGATGGCAGTACTGGTGAATAAATCGGCTTAACAATACCATGAAACGTTGGTGTCGTTATAATGACAACAGTCGTTGTTAGTAGTGCTGCGAACTTTAACCGCAATATCTAGGTATTTAATGAAAGATTGCAAGCTTAGGTTGTCATTTTCATATGATATTTATCGCTAGAATGATCTATTTTAACCGGTGAGTTCCTTTTTCACTACCACTGTTTTTCGAAGAAGTGAGAAGAAGAAGAATAACAAGGAAAGGAAATCTGTCAAATCATAACTGTTGTTTTGCTTCTTAATTACGGATCATTTTCGCTTGGATGGGTAAAATTTACTTGATCGTTGGAAGCAATAAATATGTTTAAAAAAAGTATAAGACGTTGCAGACCTGGTTTGAACCATGAACGTTTCGATTATTAGACCTGCGTTTTTACCACTCGTCTATCAATGCTTAATATATTGGCTCTCCGAAAAATAGAAATCGCTGTTGTTTTTCTCACGAAAATTGCAGTAAGCGTATAATATTTTCTTGCCTCCCACATTTAAGTATCTTCGATATTTCTAAGGTGTTTCAAAAGATAATGGTTGCAACAATAATTTTCAAGCATTTTCAACTTGATGATCTGCGCAATGACCACCTAATTAAATAATATAAAAAAAATACCATCAAAAGTGCCTGACGACGTGCTCGAGGTGTCATCCCAATTATTTGTTATTTGAGTATTTGTTTATCAGGGAGATAAACGGACATATCTTATGAAATATAAGCATTACTCATTCTGTTATGAAAATACTAAATTCTAAACAAAAAATGCTTTTTTCCCGTTTTACATTGCAGAATCAGACTACGTGGGAGCGACATGTACAAATTTACTTAGCATCAATTGAAGTAATCTATAAGATGCAGGTAGAAATCGAAAAGCCAGCAAATTCCAACAACGAACAGTCCAGTCAGTTAAAAGTACTGCGAGGTAAAACAAGAAATTTGCTATGTGATATACAGGAATACAGAAACAATTCGAAAAATCGCATGGACAAGCCACGCTCCGGAATTTCAGCTCAACAAATGAACGATAAAATTGATTTCTACATGACTGGAGACTTGACGATCAATATGGATCTAAATAAACATTTCCTAAAATGTCGTTTCCAATGCTTCTTGAAAAATATGGAACATCATGTGAACCTTTTAATTGAAAAGCTGAAGAAAGACGGACCGATACGAAAGGTTCGCACTACAAAAAATCCAAGTAAGAAACCGAAAAAGGGACACAACAGAAGGAACAAGCTCAAGAATAAATGCTGCATTGTAAATAATATGCCAACAACTCCGACCACGCCCAGACAACCGGTGAATGGTGTACACAAAGTCAACAATAAAAAGAAACTTAATGCAAGCCAACAGTCAAAATTAATTAAGTCAAGCCCGAAGAAAGTTCAACGCAAAGGCAATAAAAAATTAGTTCAGTAATTTCAGAAGGTGGTTCTCTTGCAGAAGAATTCATCTGTCGTAAAGATTAGATTAGCAAGCAGCGTGTGAAATAATTTTCTTTTTAGAAAAATTAGGCTCTGCAATTCACAAAACAAATACAACTGCCTTACGCTTTACTTACAGCATATGTCGGATTTGGTAGTGACCGTGCCTAATTCTGCGTGGCTCCTAATTTATCATGGTCCCAATTTTGCGCAGTTCATAATTCTGCGCGGTTCCTAATTCTGAGCATTTTATCCTTATAGGTAGTTTTTATTAAAATTTAACATTACATTCACCACGGTTTTATTTTTCTTAAAGCGTCATTGTCATAATTAACAATAATATAATTGATATGTGGGAATCAATAACAATCAAAAACCAAATTAAAAACATTGAATCAATCAAAAAATTAGAAACATTAAAAAAACGTAGACGTGCAATCGAGGAATTCATTAATTTTTAAAGTGAAGAGTGAAACAATCGGAATATTTGTCATAGCTGCTATGAAAAATTATCTATTTAAAAAAACTAATTCGGATTTACTATTGCACAGAATTAGGCACCGTTATGCGCCCTATTATGAGTGAAGTATGCAGAGATGACTCCTTGCAAGAAACACCGGAAAAAAACATGCGTACAAGCATCACGAAATGTTTCTGGCCATAGTAATTGTTAGTTAGGGTTATTCATAAACTACGCAGACATTTTCCAGAGGCAAACCAGCCTTTAGGCTGAAAACTTCTTAAATAAAGAACAAAAATTTACGTAGACAGCTGGGACGGTACGCAAGTTTTTACGGTCCATTTTTTAACTAAAATGGCTACGCAAGGCGAGGGGGTTGAAATCGTTCAAAATATGCCTACGTAGTTTATGCACGCCCACAAGGCTTCTATATTTGTCGCGTTGCAAAGGTAGATTCCAAAAACTATACTACGTACATCCGAAAAATGAAGCTGGTATTGGGAAGTGCCCGGAAAAGTCAACAGGTCTGTAAAAGTTGTGTCCAGCTAGCAGGTCACATCTTCGTAGCATATTTTACCAGGTATAGTGAAATACGCTACGAAGATGGAGGGAAGTGTCTAAAATGGGTAAAAAATATGCTACGTCAGTTATGTAGATCCCCAATTGATCATAGAAAATGGCCAATGGCTCCTTTTTCATTCTTGAATTTTCAAACATTGTTATTTTTAGGTGCGCATAATTAAGAATAAAACAGCACAGAATTGAAAACGTTCACAAGAGAATTAGGTGGGGCGCATCACAACATTATTTTTTTTCACACAGTTTTTGGTTTCGATTCGAATGTAACATTTTTTGGTTATTTTAGATAGTAACACAACATTTTACAGATATTATTAATTAAATTGCTAGTTTGAATAGCCCAAACTGGCGTTTACTTTCTTAAAATGTTTTAACTGCGCAGAATATGGTACCTTCACGATAATGAAATAATAATATAGTTACTAATCCAGCAATGATACAGTATTTTTATAATA